TATATTTTTACTTCCCTACCGCTAATCCACCGACTACACTATCTCTCTCTCCCCCCTCTTTTTCTTCACCCGCCCCTCTTCTTCGTCACCCCTCCCCTTCTCTTTTTCTTCGCCTCGTCTCTCTCCCGCCACCCGTCATCGTTGCCGTCCCCCCCGCCTCGCACCGCACCACCCAAGACACCATCGCCGCCTCCCTCCTCGTCTAGACACCATCGGCTGACTCCCTCTCCCTCTCTCTTCCGCCGCCACCGCCGCTCGCCTCTCTCTCTCCCCCCCCCATCGCCGGCAGCCCCGAGGGTGACAAGGAGGACCGCTGGAGACACGTCGGTGACCTGCGCGTCCTCTCCACCGTGAGGGTGATGAGGAGGGCCACCTACTCCACCGTGCCGCCGTCGACTTCACCCCACCATGCCGCCTCTAATTCTGGCCGAGTGCGCCACTGCCGACTCCGCCCCTCCCCCTCCGCCCATTGTTGAGGTGGTCAACGGCGAGCGGCGCGCAGATTTGCGTGCCGGCAGCCGGATCTGGTGGGCCGGCGCCATCTCCAAGTCGTCGCCGCATCTATCCCTCTGCTCGTCACCGCCTCTCTCTCCCTCTTCATCGTCACCGACGAAGCTCCTCTTCACCGCCGGATCTACTAGGGCGAGGGGTGGAAGGGGAAAATCCGAGGGTGGAGCGGTGTCCACGAGCCGCTCCCTAGCCTCGGTGCACCCAATGCGGAGCCCAGCTCCGTGGCTCGACGAAAAGGAATACAGAGAGGCGTGTCCCCCTTAGAGGGGTCGTGGCCCTCTACTGGGAGACGGCTTCGGCCGAAAAAGTCGACGCCGTGAGTAGGGCTACGCCTCAGGGACTAATGTACATGATCTTAAGTACCAGCTAAGTAGCTACAGTACCACTTATGTTTTTAATATACTACGGTGTTGAATTTTTAACTATCATTCGTTCTATTAAAATTTTGAGTAAATTGCATTCACGGTGCATCAACTTGTTAGGTGGGTGTAATTTGGTGCAATAACTTGAGAAATGAGTGTTCTAGTGTAACAACTTAGCAGGTAGGTGCAATTTAGTACAAAAACTTTATATGTGATCGTATAAATGCAACAACTTATAAGGTCGGTACGATTTTGATACAATAAATTAAAAAATTATGCGACAACTTAATTATTTGGAGTATTTTTTATATAAATTCAATTTTTAAGTACTAATTTCGACAATATACTAGCGCGGATTTGTATAAGTATATTTATATTTTTATCCTAATAACTAATAACTGAAAGCCAATTAAACTGGATGTAGAAATTATTATATTTCAGTTGATATTTGAGAAGGTGAAGAAAACAAAAACAAAATCTAGAAGGTAATTGGATGTAAATTGTACTATTATATGCAGTATAATTCTTAAAGATTAAATTCAATATTATAAGATAATATCCTTATGATTAGTATGTAATGGCATATTGACATCGTGAAAAACCCACCTAGCATATTTATTTTTAGCCAAGTTGATACACCAAAATACTAAATTGTTAAGTTCTTATACTAGAACACACCCACTCATCAAGTTGTTGTACTCGGACGCTCAATTCTCAAGTTCTTGCACTATATCGCACCCACCTGTCAATTTGTTATACCGTGGATGCAATTTACTCTAAAATTTTTGTGAAAAAAGAAATATAAGTTATGCTTAAAGAATATTTAATGATAAATTAATTCACAATAAAATAAATGATAATTATAAATTTTTAAATAAGACATTCAAGCAAACATAATTTTTTAAAATTATCCGTGTTATATATTAAAAAACGGAGAGAGTGTATAATTATCTAAAGCAATTAGTGTATTAGGCTTCCTCTAATACTAGCAAACGAAGTGTTTACGTTGGCTTCATTTTGTGCACGCAGGAGCGCTGCAATTAACACCAAATTGCTAAGCGTTCGTATTGCCAGCTGCTAAGCGTTTAGCAATGTTTTGTTATGTATGTTCTGCTACGGTAACACAGTAGGCTGAAAAGGATTCTACTATGTTACTTCCTCTGTATCACAATGTAAGTTATTTTAGCATTTTTCACATTTATATTGATGTTAATGAATCTAGACATATATATTTATCTAGATTTATTAATATGAATATGAATGTGGGAAATGCTAGAATGACTTACATTATGAAACGGAGGAAGTATGTCAAAATATATTATTATATTGATGAGCTCTATTATTTTTGAACGATCAGCACGAGATAGCGTGATGATTGTTTTCAACTAGGAATATTATTATGCTATATTGCTATTTTTCCGCGATCACTGTCATTTACTGAGTTGGCCTCTCTGTCACGTTGAAATATTGTCTAGCGATTGTTCATGAAGTAGACAAACCCGTTAAATTAAACCTAGCTAGCCTCCCAAGGAATGTACGCCAATGCCTCCCAACTAACCAAGTCAACTTGACCTTCAGCGCCGCGCCGCCGCCATTCCTACATGCCCATCCATCCATCCATCCATCAATGCCACGTTCAACGCTAACCTGTCTGTTTGATCAACCCACATTCCCCGCCAGAATTCACAGATCGCAACCACATGGATAACACCATTGTCCTCTGCTCGATGCATGTGAAAAAGACGCAAAGCGAACAAAACTGAAGCTCCGAGAGGACAAAAGTGTATTCCACCAGTCAACGAAACAAAAAACGCTGAAGTCTTCGCCTTCCTCGATCTGCTCCTCCTGGTGTTTTCTGGGAGCAAAGGGTGATACTATTACTATTTAATGGTGAAGAATTCTGTAGTGGATTCCAACTTGAAGGATTTATAAGCTTTGACATGCGAACCAGACGGAATTTGTTTTGAAGTGGACAGTGGAGAGAGCGAGCAAGCGGTGTGCAGTGTGTGAAGTCCTCATCTCTGAAGAAGGTTGCTTTCATGGAATGATAAGTTGATCACTACCAAAAAGCATAGCTAGCCAGTGATGACTGGTGAGTGATGAGGATTGAGGATGATGAAAACGCGTTAAGGTCAGCGTTCAATAAAAAAAAGAAGTGTATGAAACGACTTTCCAGCACAAAGATTCCTACAGATGAAATGAGACTGTAGCACAAGCAGCAGAATCTTTTTGCATGAAAAGAAATGCTGTAAGGGCAATTTTTATAGTGGAGGTGTGTGCCACATCTAATTTAAACCACGTCATCTTCTCATTAATTAAGAGGTAACAAGTACAACATATCACATCTAATGCACAAACCCCAATATTAGTTTACTCTCATATCATCTTGTACTTTTCTTAGAGATTGTGTGGAGGTTGCCCCTTGCATGAGGGGTGGCTCATTCTCTCCCTCCTAACTTCTCTCCTCCACCTCATCACCTAATCCTACGTGGCAAATTTATGGGTAACATGTAGGGGCTTATAGTACTTGCCCTAATGAGCAGTAAAAAAGATTACTAAATAGGAGTCTTTCCAAGGTACTGTACTCCCTCTGATTCCATATTAATTGATATTTTGGACAAGATTGGAGTCAAACTTTTATAATATTTTGATCATCAATAATTTAGAAAATATTTAGTTTAAAGAACTAGAACAACATATATAGGGCTTGTTCACTTTGATGAAAAAAAACCTTACCAAAATTTTGGCATTATTGCCAAAATTTTGGCAGGATTTCTTATATAGTTATCAAAATTTGGCAGCAAACTAAATGTAACCACTTTTTTAGCAACTTTACCAAAATTTGGTAAGGTTGAAAATGGCATCAAAGTGAACAGGCCCATAGATTTGTCTTTCAAAATACTATAATAAAAGTAAACATACATTTATTTATTATATATATATATATAGAAAAATAAGGTCAAAGATATATTTTGTAGACCGTGTCATTGTCTAAAACGTTAATTAAAATGACACCGGAGGGAGTACTACTTAAGCAAAGAACAAACCTGCATGGATGACTACAAATGTTCCAATTATCAAGCAGATTAAATGTGGTTGCTCTACCATACCAATTTCAGATTTTTTTTTTTTGGGTCCCAGTAGGCTCCACGGCTTGACATGCCAGCGCATCAAACCAACCAGGTTCAGAAATTGCAGCACATTAATCACAAATATAGTCAAGATCAAAGTAATGATATGACTTGCTATATATCCGACTGACCGTTGAGTGGACTTTGCCGATTTGATATACACAAAGATCAGCAACTCTTCAAGTGGGAGTCAGTATCAGTGCACCAATGATTAATAAGATCAACCTACTATTAACATGATATTTTGAGTTTCACATAAGCTCATTGAAACAGCCGTTGCAAAAGCCAAGCATTCACTGGTCACATGCTCTGGTCCAAATGGACCCAAAGAATTGTGAAGTCGCCTGGTTTGGCATTATCAGAATTCATGGATTAGTCCTCCAGTAGAGTCCTTTGCAGTAGTCAGAATCCAACAGCTAACTGAAGCAGCACTCACCCTTGAGCATATGGAATTTCCACAAAATTACAAATGGACATATCAACATTGAAATAGCATATTCTAGAAAAAAAAGCAGTGAGTGTTTGCTATGCTTGCAAACAAAGATGACAACATATTAATGGATCGGTATTCCCAAAAAATGTTAATGGATCAAACTCGGGCATTATCCAGCCTTTTCGGGTTTGCTAATTTTCTTCAACAAATTCCTTTTTCTGAAAGTGTTGTGTTTGTTCAGTCTTTTAAAATTATTAGCATCAAGATTGCACTACAAATTTGAATGGTATAACCTCTTACCGGTCATTGCCAGTTGGATTGGCAACCCAAAGTGTTATGAATTATGATCCCTGGGTTGGATGCTTTGGTCTGCTAGAATGTGGCCCTATTTTGAAAATAGCAATTACACATGAAACAATTGACTTCGGTAGATTTATTTTGCGTACCAAATATGGAATGAAGATAGAATTCAACTCCATAGAGGTTTGAGACCTAATGGAATATATAATCAAACAGCATTGTGATCAAGGTGATATACTGACCACAATGGAAGGTAAAAGATCATAATGAAAGCTAATGGAGATGCACTACAGAAATTCCTGAAGGAAGCTGCAGAGGAATTACAGGTGGATGAGTATCATGCAATAGTAATTTACATAAAGAATCATGAAGACGCTGTGAGATCAGATTGCCACACAAAAAAAGAAAAAAAAAACACAAATATGTGACCCCAACCGCACGGAATCTTTGACTAAAGTAACTGTTCATACATGAAAAATGATTGAAAATACCAATTACGGCAGTCAAAGTCAAAATGCGTCATGTGCATTTTTCTTTCTTGCTCTCTGGGTATGTGTCATACTGTCATCATCAGTTAAACAGCCTTGAAATCCAAGTTCAGGTTTCTGACACATCTTCTCAATGCACGAATAACTGACTAGTGAGTTTCTGTTTGAAATGGAGGTGCAGCCTCATGGCCAGAAGCACTTCTTCTAATTACATCTGATGCACTTCTTCCAATTACATCTAATGACATGTCCCAATTCCCACTTCTACGATCCCAGCTCGAGTGCCGCACTCGTACCTCACTTCCGATTGCAGGAATCTGCGATTCAGAACCTATCGCAAGTTTGGCGTTGGGAATGCCTTCCATCTCACTGCAGTCCTGACTTCCCATTTCAAGATCAACATCCCCATAGTTGCGCCGCTGAGAGATCTGCAGGAGATCACTACCGATCTCAAGATCATCTTCTACTTTTGCCCGAGGGCCACCAGCTGGCTCTTCTTCCATCTGCCTGCCAAAGTTAACTACTGGAGCTCGTACTTCCTCTTGTACATAGGCTCTGAATTTGTGTTTTGAAGGTTTTGTCTTACTACAGAAGACTCCTAAGCAATTATTCAGACATCCTTGATCATAGACATTAGGCCTGTTGTCTGATCTGTATCGAAAGTTCTCGTATGTGGTCTGCAACATTGAAACATCATATTAGAGATTTGTACCATGACTTCAATGGGAAAAGAGACCTCGAGGCTCGAGCATATGACAAATAAACTCATAAGGCTATAATGTTGTTTTTGCATTTTCCATAGAAGCAATTAAAAATTGACCTTCCTGGAGCTTGTTGAGCATAGAACATATAGTATATCACTTATTCTAACCCGGCATTTGCGCAAGCCATCACAACCCTATTTATCATATTAGCGATTTGGCATGCTATAACACTTCTCTTTAACATTCAGTTTAATAAGCAGGCAAACAAAACCTTGTGTTCATGAACAAAAGTAATCACTAGACAAATAAATCACCAAACTTTGTATTAAAAAACTAACCTGGTTAGTGCAAATGAGATATGAATGAAATCCAGTGAGTCCACCAACAAACCAGAGGGCGATGAAACAGTATATCATAAGCACCAAAGATGCTGGAGAGTGTTTCAAAGCCTTCCACACTGTAGGATAGCCCTCCTCCATGAGGAACTTGATGTATAACGCCGACATTGCAAATACATAAATGCAAAGAAGAGTCGAGGAGGAAACAAACAGGAAAAAGAATCGATAATTGCGCTGCACAATGTAGAAATGAAACAAGAATGGTCAGAAACAAAGCAGTAAGAGACAGACTGAATCAAACTTACAATTAGATTTCAAGAACCATTCCTTAAAACAATTGCAGCAAGAACGATATTGTGAGCATCTCTCAATTTCAGATATGTTTTCCAGCTAGTAAATGTTTCAGTTGGTCGATCCTGTGACGTGCAGGGATTTTACAGGATTCAGAATAAAATTAATAGCTTCTTGCTAGTCCATAAATACTAGAGTATTAATACCTAAAATGTGTGGTTCCTAAATGTACTGAAGTTATGCACTATCTGAAACTAGTCATGGTGGAATTCCCCTGAATTGAAGTAAAAAACTGTGGGCTTATTATATGCATGTATAAGTTGGAACAGAAGCATGTCCTGCCAACTGGTGTTAAATTGGGATATAAAGAGCAGAACTATGCAAAATTAACTGAAGCCAGGTCAAAAAAGGTACAGCCACAGTAGTCCAGCATGAAATAGATCATTAATAATTCCAAGCACATCATACAGCAATTTTTGCACAACTGATCAGGCATGAAAGGTCTAAGGAGAACACCAACTTCAGCGATAGGGAATGAGTTATGCGTCCATTAACTAGAAGTGACTAATGCTCTTTAATAAGGCATGTTTGGCAGAGCTCCAGCTCCAGCTCCACCTCTCCTAGAGCTGGAACCCAACCAAACAGTTTTAGCTCCACCCTAAAAAGGAGCGGAGTGGGCTGGAGTGCTCCCACAAAATGAACGGAGTTAAATTTAGGAGTTCGAGCCTTGCCAAATAGGCCCTAAGTAGACAGCAACAATCATGTTAACCATGCCTTGTTCTATGGAGTATGATAACAATCATGACATGCTCCAATTGCTATGTTAACCCATTTATTAATAATTGTGCTCAATCAAATGGGTTTATTCCATCGTCCAGAACGAAATTGACCCTATCTTGCACAATCCATATAAAACTTATCATCCCTCTCTCAGCTCTTTGGAAGGATACATGTGAGATCCCGAGTTTGCTACTTACTAACAGTATTTAATAAAATGAATGCATAAGCCAAAGCCAGGAAAATACATTTCTTAAAACAACTAAATTTAACCCCAGAAACTACAATATATTGTGTATGGGTTATCTCTTGGTATACTTGCCCTCTAAGGTGTCAAGATAAATGTAACAAGTTAATGATTCTGTTGAGCTCATCAATTTTCATGAAAGCTGAAATAGCTTTAGCAGACAGAGAAATTGTACCTGTCCAATGCATTGTCCAACCCAAGGGCAATGATGATCAAAGCGCTCGACACAATTGTTGCATATTGAACAGTGCGAACACCGAGGGGGCCGGTAAATCATGCAGGTGTCACAATACTTTACTTTCACAAGCATCCCATTAACCATTATTTCTTTTACACGGGGAAATTGCAGCCTGCCTGGTGTGCCCCCGTTCAATGGATTGCCATAGGCAAACTCTTCCTCCGGTGGATGCGATGCGCGAGGCACAATGCCAGGATCCTGAGCTGAGGTGATGAACAACAAGGTAAGTACCTGCAAATGCACACAAAAGAAGGACAACAAAGCCGTATTCAGTCGAGTGCTCAAAATGCAGTACCATGTGGCTACTACCTGAAGGAACCAAACCAAGACATTGCACTCACATAGATCATGAAGAGTACTGCAACCGCAGGAATCGCATATCCTGCGTTGTAGGTGGAGAACTGATGCCGGAGATGCCGCGCAACGAACACGCAGAAGACGAGAACAGGCACCACGATGAGCGAAACAGAGACGAGCAGGGACTTGGCATCGGGTCCGAATATCAACCTCCCACCAAACAAGAACCTCTGCATATACGAAGCGAACCAACCATTGTCAGGGGCAGCAACACATCACATTGCACTCTGACATATGCAACAGGCCATCAGCACAGACAGAGCAACCCAGCAAATCTACTACTGCTCATACCTGGAAGCACCAAGAGGGTTCTTTTTTCTTTCTTTCTTTCAAAAAAAGAGAGAGGCAGCAAGAAACAGAATTTCCCGAGAAAGAGACTGTACCAATCGTCCACCCAAGATTCGGAGCTCAAGAGGAGGAAGCGCGAGCAAGAACAAGAGAGGTATGTGAGGGAAACAGGGGGGGTAGGATCTTACATTATTCCCTTTCCAAGCTTCGTAGACTCGCTTCTGCGGCTGCGCCATGGACGACGTCGGCGAAGGTCCTCCGGTCAGTGCCACTGCCCCATCTCAGACCGGCCCCCAAATCGGGTGGTGAGAGCACGGAGGAATCGACGCGCGCACGCGGAAAGGGAGATTCGGAGCAGAGGTGGAGGAATCGAGTGGGAGGGGAGATGGGCAGAGGCGAGGCGAGGCGAGGCCAAGAAAGAAAAGCTGCGTGCTTGCGTTGCCTTTGAGCGTGAGGTGAGGTGTACAACGGGTGCCTTTTTCCCTGCGTGAGGAAAAGAAAAGGATAATAAAATCAGAGAGACAAGCTGGCAAAGTGAACTGGAGTGAATTGCTGAAGAAGAAGAGGGAGTGTGTGCTGCGTGCTCTATTGCTCTTTTTGCAAATGAAACCTTGGATTTTATAGGAACGACACATATAACATTCAGCAGCAAAAGAACTTCGAACCAACCATAGCACATGTAAAATTGGTAGTGGTAAAACTTATCGAAGGTTTAACACTACCGTTAACTCGGCTTCACGGAGAACCAAGATTTCATAAGGACTGCTATTTAGCGCATATGCATTCTCATCGTACGCTTTTTCTGAAAACGTTCATCTAGAAAATTTTCATCTGAAAAACATTTAACTAGAAAACTTTCATCTGAAAAGGTTTTATGGGAATACTTTTATAAGAAACTTTCATCAAGAACTTTTTTATGAAAACTTTTATATGAAAAGGTGCATGCTATGAATAAATATGCGCTAAATAGTAATCTAGAATTCTTTTTCATTTGTATGAACCATTCAATACAAATAGGTTCAAGAGGATACACTGCAACTTGCAAAACTTAATTCATATCTAGAAGACATGTTTTCATCTTTATACCAACATGTACCTTCGTATTTAATTTAAGCTCCCATTTCACTCATATGGCAATACATTAAATCATTCTACAATTAATTCAACTCATTTGCATAGCCTATTGGTAAAGAACAAAGTGTTGTGACTTAAGTTATGAGTAATTAGCATGATCAAAATACACTTAAAAATGAAACCTTGCCTCCAAATTACTCTAAATTCTAGTCGGTAGCATGTTGCTACTCTCTTACTGATAATTCCAAAAATTTCTACTTCAAAGAACTATTCTTAAAACAATCCAAAAATGTGCGAGGGCTACGCGCAAAGAAAGCCAGGCAAGCAAACAAAAGCAAAAGGGCAGCAAATGCTCACTAGTCCCTGCACCGGGTCTAGGACGGGAGTTTCCAGGTCGCTGAGGGGCCCGCGTATGGTCAAACAGCCAGGGACAGTGATGGTTGCACGGTGGACCAGGCCCAGCCAGCGAAGTCCCCCTCCAGCTAGGAACATCAAAGGGAGGCAGGTGGGGCCAAGAGGACAGACACGAGAAGAGAGTCTACGACGCTAGGGTACTTTCATCCATTAGACTACTCGATCAAAGGGCAATGGTAGGAGTAATGGTTTGCTCAAGAGTTGATTATAATTGCACGTGTGCTCACCAATCCATTCGCAAACAGAGGATAGCAATCATATTGTTTGACCGACAAGAACATATTTACTCTTTTTCCTAATCACAAAAACTTTCACTGTTATTGTATAATCAGGGTCTGAAACTGAGGAAACTGACACAAAACATATTTTTAACTCTCTCGGTTCAGTATGAACCGGCACATCTAAGAAAGAGATGGCAACCTAGCAGGTGAGACCATATGGGCAAAGAAAGATTGTCCATGGTAGACCAGCATTATGACATCCAACACCGATGTGGAATGTAGGAGAAAACTAGAGGAAATCCGGAGGCTTTGGAATCCTATGAAAAAGCTGCTTTTCAGCTGTCAAGAACCAGGGAAGGACAATCAACTTTAGATCTCATTGCTACAGAGTCTGAGGGGAGAAAACACGCTGGATGGAACCTAGACAAAACTTTGATCGATCGCTACTAGCCTTGTCCCCAATCAAAATAAATCATTCCCCTTCATTTTGTTTGAAGGCAGAATTCTGCACTTTATTGCGGCATTCTATGTTTCTGCAGCGTTCAATATTTTAACGAAGCATTATTTTTTTCCATGTACTATTCTGTTCATGAAACCAGAAAAATCAAACCCACATTCGTTCTGTTCATGGATAGCAGAAGTGGGAAGATGGACCATTGTGTTACATTACGCAAATTCCTTAAGGCTTTCAGAACGATCAAACTCGAGAGATAAATGGGAATAGGAACAAAGGTAAAGCATTAAGGAGTACCCAGTACTGACCTCTTGCTGCTTAACTGCCATGGCATTAGAAGAACGGCAGGAGTTAGCTGGAATATGGGTTGGATGGCATCAATGCTGAACTGGTGGCTTCCGTGGTCCAGACTGGTACAGTACAGGATAATAAAGGTGATAGCTCGACCAAGAGAGCAAAACAAAGGCAAGAAGTCAGTGCCTGGAATGTGCATGTCCCAGCCAAATTGCCAATCACACTGTTACGTGTAGTAGTCTGAAGAAGGTATTAGTCACATCTAAAAAATTAAAAGCATGAAAGTCAGGTGGCAAGGGAGTGACCAGCAAAGAACACCTGAAGAACCGACTCATATCTGGAATAAACACCTTTACTTTATGCCCGGTTTGCCTTCTCTTTTCCATCTTTGAGATTGATAATATCTGAAAATTGCAACATAATTTCATTAGATATGAATATATGAGTCCACAGTCCACAGAACACATAGCTCTTAGCAATCATACCATAGAAGAACGAAACAAAGTTTGCGTGTTTACAGGTTGCAGAATATATTACATGAAGTACATTTACTGAAAGATTATAATACTACAACATGTGTGTTTGCTATTGTAATGTTCTTTCACTCAATATGTAACAATATAATTGTTGTTGGCTCAAAACTAAAAGAACAATTTCAAAGCAAACAATTACATAATTTTTTTTAATGTAACAATCTGGTGGAAAATCTGTCACATATTGTTCATCAAGTCACTCTCTAACGCAAGGAGTGCAACACATCGCATCACCTTCCTTTTCTTTCTTTTTCATACTTCAAAAGGGAATCCGACACTTCTTGGTGCTTCAAGGATTCAAAAGTGGTTTTCGGGAGCTCAAAGGCGAACTTGCATACGCTCGGTCGCTCCGCCTCCGGGGGTGACGCGGGCGGCGAAACAGGCCGCGCCGCCCCCGACCCCCTCCTCCCCTCCCCCACCTCGCCGCCGCCCGAGCCACCGCCGGCAAAGCCAGGCGGCTGCAAGGACGGCGGCGGCGGGGCTCTCTCTTCCCTCGCTCGCAGTCAAGCTGGTCGGGGCGCCGGCAAGACGGAGCTCAGGGCAAGGCGCCGGCGCCGAGGAGAAACCGACGGCGGCGTCCAGATCCAGCGCCGGGATGCATGGATACGGCCCCCTCATGGCTGGATTTGTTGCTCTGGGCGGCAGAGAGCCGGGGACGGCGAGTTGGCGGCGTCGGCGGCTGGAGTGGTGGCGGGGCGGAGGAGGCGGCGGCATGGCCATGTCTGCAGTGGCAAGCGGCGGCCGTGGCCAGATCTGGCCGGTCGGCTGGCGCCGGAGGTGGCTGCGGTGGCGGCGTCTGCGGTGGCGGGTGACGACGGCGACAGCTGAGGCAGCTGCTACGGCGGTTGGCGACGGCGGCAACTGCGCTGGCTGGTGGCGACGGCGACGGCTGAGGCAGCCGCTGCGGCGATTGGCGAAGACGGCGACGGTCGAGGCAGCCGCAGCGGGGACCATGCGGCGGCGGCTCAAGCAGCCGCACCTGTCGTGGCGGCTGCACGCGTGTAGCGCCCGTTCCGTCGTGGCGCCTAGCGGGAAAAATTATCTTTTAAAAACCCTAATTGCGAAATTTGTTTCTTTGCTTGTTGTCTAGTGTCCGTGCCATCTCAAGATCTCAATCCCCGATCTATCGTCGAGTTCAAATCCGAATCCAAATCCTTCCAAATCAAATTCCTCCGCAAAAGTCTATTTTGCCTCCCCCGGGGGTCGATGGGCCGATTTCCTCCCGGCCCATCTCCCCCTCTCCCCCGGCCCATCTCCCCCTCTCCCCTCTCCCCCGGCGCGCTCTCCCTCTCTCTCGCTCTCTCTCGCCCCCTCCTCTTCCCGGCGCGCTCCATCTCCCCCTCCCTCGCGCGCCGCGCGCGGGCGCGAGAGCCGCGCCCTGCACCGCTCCGCTTCTCCCCCGCTCAGCTCCGCTCCGCCTCGCCCGCGGGCCGCGCGCTCTAGCGCGTAAGCCGCCCGCGCCGAGCCAAGTCCTCCCCCTCCGCTTCTCCCTCGCTGCCGCTTCCCGCGCGCTGTTGTTCGCGCGCGCGCCCGCGTGGTCCTCGCCCGCACCGCGTGGTCGCCGCCCGGCCCCGCTGCCCTGCCGCGCCTGCAGCCGCTCGGTCCCGCAGCCAGCGCGTGTGCCGAGCCGCGCCGCTCCATCCGCCGCGCCCTCCCGTTGCAAGCCGCGCGCGCGTGCCGTGGTGGCCGACCGCCTGGTCGCCGCCGTCGTTAGCGTCTACCGCGTCTGTCGCCCGTGTCGTCGCGCCGCTCCAAACCGCCCGCCGTCATTGCCGTCGTCACCGCTTGGCCCCCGCCACTCCGCGCGCAAGCCGCCAAGGGACGGAGGCCGCGCCCCTCCTCTCTCTGCCGCGTCGCCCCGCTCCCCTCCTCCTTTTTCCCGAATCGGCAAAGGGGCAAGCCCCCTTTCTCCCCCTCCTTTTCCCCTTTTCCCCCCCTCGCCGGCGTCATCCTCCCTGTCGCCGCTTTGGCCGCGACCGCCGAGCGCCAGCTCGCGCCCTTGACCGCGCAAGTCGGTCCCCAAACCGACATTGCCGCCCATTTAAACCCCAGCTCCTTCCCCTCCAATCTCCCTCGTTTTCGCCTCCTCGCCATAGCTGCCGCCCCCGTGCTCTGTCTCGTCTCCGCCGTCCTTCGCCGAGCGCCGGAAGAGCCGGTGCGTTCGAGGACGCGGAAGGGGACTTCGGCCGCGCCCTCTTCTTCCTCTTCCTCGGCCCGAGGCTGGAGAGATTACTCCCGCGCCGTCGGCCTCTCGTCACAGCGCCCCTCCTCATCTCGGTGATGCCTCCCTCCGTTCTTCCTCCTCGCTCCATCTCCTCCCCCTAGCTTTTGGTAGTAGCTCGAGTAGACTCCCCGTAGATAGCCGGCGCCGCCCCGACCGTTGCCGTCGCTCGCCGTGCTCTCGCCGCCGTCGCCGCTCGAGCTCCGTAGCACCCACACGTCGCTAGCCTCGCTCGGCGTAGCTCCGTCCAATCCGACGCTAGCATCGAGTTCCCGAAACCGCGTAGATGCTCTCACCGTCGGGAATCGGTCCCTCGTGACCTCGTCGGCGTTTCCCTCTTCCCTCCCCGCCGGTTGTCGCCGCCGCGATTCGCCGCCGTCGAACTCCCTCTGGCGAATCCGAGCCGTTGGCTCGTCTCCCCTCATCACGAACAGCCGCCCGGTGTGCTCGCTTTTGCCCGTATCGCCGTGGTTCGCTCCGCCGCTCGCCGCCACCACCCGCCGTCCATTCGCGGCCGGGTCGTCGTCTACCTCCCGCCGGCCCGCGTGGCAGCCACGTAGGCGCCACGTCGGCGCCAGCTCAGCCTAGACTGGGTCGAGCCGACCCCGGTCAGTCCCTCCCCGTGCGCGCGTTCCACCGCGAGCCGTGAGGCTGCTCGTGGGCCCGCCGCATCCGCATCCACCGCGAGCCGCGCGCGTGCACCGCGTCCCTCCCTCGCCCGCGCGCGTACGCCGCATGCTCCCTCCGCACGGTGAGCCGAGCCACTGACAAGCGGGTCCCACCCGGGACCGCGCGTGGTGAGCCCGGTCCACCGGCCCCCTCTCTCCTCCCCTCCCGCGCGCGCTCTGGGCCGGGTCCTCTTGGGCCGGCCGGCCCATTAGCTCGGCCGAGCCGCGCTTCTTCTCTCGGGCCACGCCCTAGCCGCCCGAGGGAAGTCTACTTCTCCTCCCTCTTTCTTTTCTTTTTCAAAAAGGATTTAATTTAATCCTTTTTCCTTTAGACCAAAAATCAAATAACCTTAGAAATTCAATATCTTTCCAACCGTAAATCCGTTTGACTCCGTTCAACTTCCAAAATTCCTCAAATCTCGAGATCTTTCTAATGGCATGCTTAGAGGTCATTAATAGGGCTTTATTTTCGCCGTTTGTTGAGTTGTCCCGTTTCGCGTGTAGTATCGGAGCCCGAAGACCCGCGGTGCGAGGATTTCGAGGATCAAGCTCCAGATCTCGAGCAAGGCAAGCCACCTTTGAACATCTTGAGCCTATATTTGAAATCTAATTATATTGCTTGCAAAATATTATGCATTGATAGGATTGCACTTAATCTGTTGTTCCGTCTGCAAGGCAGATTGGCAGACCTACCTAACTTGTTACATTTGATCCTTCCATTGTTAATTGCTATACCATGTCCCCTTGTAACCATCCAGTTGCGCCTCGATATTCGTGCACCCTGTGCCAGTATCGACGGTCGCCTTCAAACTTAAAATCCGAGTAACAACTTGGGTAAAACTGGAGTTTTACAAAAGACTTGGAAAACCCGACACCTGGGTCGGTGCTTGCGAACTAAATGAATTTTCAAAACCGCGGACCGGGGAACGTACCGGGTGTACGGTTTCCCGCTCTCGCACTTAAGGACCGATTCCTTGGAATTTCATCCAAACATAAGACAAGTACGACCACATGGGTGGAATGGGACACCCCTGGCTGAGTAACTAGCTTATCAGGGGAGCCTTGATGCCGAGAGACATGTGGATTCGCTGGGGTGGTGTCGGGGAGGACCCCTGGGCTTCCTGGCACAGTATGGTATGGGACCTAACCTGTTGTTGGTCTGGGACCCCTCTCGTCGGCATATGGTAAACCTGTGTCGGCTTTGGAAATGCCTTGTCATGAAAGCTTGGAGGTCTCCCGACGTGGCTGATCCCCACGGGCTGGGTGATCCGGGTTAGTAATGTCGTGTGGGTAAAGTGTACCCCCTCTGCAGAGGTTAACAAACTGTTCGAACAGCCGTGCCCACGGTCATGGGCGGATGTGAGGTGATTCCTAGCGTAGTTTGGTTTGACTACTGCTTGTGAAATTGCTGTGTGAAAAGGGGTTCGGTGTTTGAAAAATCTGCAGCTAATGGGATCAGCTAGGCCCGGGTGGCCGTTGAAAAAGCTGTTGGCCGGGTGCCAACCTTGTTTAAATTCTAAAGACTGATACATTGCACATACTCCGACCGGACGAGACGCACTGTCTCATCCGTGTCGTTTGAGAAGCACTCACTTAGTTGTTTCAGAAAAGAGTTCAAATAAAATTAATTGCAAAAACATCAGCCTTTCCTTGAAGCCTGCATTAAACACTTACTTCCCATGGCTTGCTGAGTACTCCCGTACTCACCCTTGCCCTATATAAATAATCCCCCCCAGTTGCTGAAGAAGATGAAGCGGATCCTGCTGATGAGGAGTTCTTCCAGGAGCAAGCCGGCTACGATGAGTTTTAGGGTTTCGGCCTAGTTCCCAAGTCGCGCCTGTGTTTATTGGTCCAAGTCCTGGCTTCCGCTTTCCTTTTGTAATGCAGTTGTGAGCTCGGGATCTGTCCGCAGCCCAACATGACTGTACATCTACTCTATAATAAAGAGACCTCTGTTGCTGTGATATTCTGTCTCCCTGTGATACCAGCACTGTTTCCTGGGACTGGTATCGATTAACAGGTTAATTTGGAGCGTCACGGGCTAGTTCCGGTCGGGACTAGTTCGGGGCGTGACAACGCGGTGTCGGCCTACTGCGGCGGGAGACCGGATCCCCTCCGTTGAACTGCTGGTGGCGGTTGGCGACGAGGCGGCGGCTTGTGGCGACAGCGGCTGGCTACGACGGCTGGAGACGGCGGCGGCGGTAGACGGCGGCTGGCTTGCAGCTGCCGCGGCTGTGGAGGCGACGTGTGGCGGCCGGGGACGTTGGCGGATGCGACAACGGCTGGCGGCGTCGTACAGACGATCGACAGCGGCAGCAAGTGGAGGCGTGACGGTGGGAGGCATGGCGGTCTTCAACGGCTAGCCGGGGGCGTGGAAGACAGGCGCACCTGGACGGCGCAACAGCGATCGGAGAAGGGTCGGAAGTCGGCTTGGTGCAGAGAGGCGCAGCCGATGACAGGAGGCCGGATTGGTGCGAGATGCGCGTCCGGTGGAGGAGGCCGGTACGGCGCGAGAGGCACTGCCGGCGGCGACGGTGGCCAGCTTGGCGCGAGAGGCGCGGCCGATGGAGGGAGGCCGGATTGGCGCGAGAGGTGCATCCGGTGGAGGAGGCCGGCTTGGCGCGAGAGGCGCGGCCGGCGGTGGAGGAGGCGACCTCGGTGTGAGGAGGAGCTGCCGGTGGGTGTGGTGCGGTCTTCAGCGCACGAAGGCTGACCGGCGGGGGACGCCGATGCAGGGGTCCCACATGTCGGCAGAGCTTGAGTAGTGGTGGAGCATCGGTGCGTCAGCCGTGGATTCGCAGGTGGTGAGCGGCGGGTGAAAACCCAGCTCGGCTGTAGCCGGACCGACAACGATGTCATTCCCCCTCCTGAGGGCGTTGTCGTGCTGTCTCACCCCTCAAGGGCGGTTGCCGGGCGAAAGCCCAGTCTTGACTCCTTTGAGCCCTGACGGATGGCAACGGCGGTTCTTCCGTCGCTTCTCTTCCTGAAGACGTCATTTTGGCATCCTCTAGGGGCCGATCTCGTCTATGTTCCTTTGTTGGTCTAGCGGCGGTCGGTCACGCTTAGCGGCGGCCGGTCCGGTGCTAGCCTTCTCCCGGGTGTGTGTGTTAGCACTGTCGGTGTGTGGGTGGGGTTTTTTTTTCTTTTTCCTGGTTATGACCTTCCAGGGTTGTAATCTTATAATTTTTTCCTGCTCTATCAATAGAACTTCGCACCGTCTCGTGGGGTTTTTTTTTCTTTTTCCTGGTTATGACCCTCCAGAGTTGTAATCTTGTAATTTTTTCCTACTCTATCAATAGAACTTCGTTCAAAAAGAAAAAAAAAGGGAATCCGACAACACAAGATACTACTCCTGCAGGAATCTTGTCAACATCAACAAGAGGTACATAGAAAGCTGCAATCCGGCCATCAGGCAAAAACTGCAAGGTTCTTCAACTGAATCTAATACAAACGCATATCTACCTTGGATTTTCTGGATCCAACTCCTTCGATGCAAAGGCCAACTGCTGCAAACTCTTTGCTCGGAAAAAAAAAAATCTCCCAACCGCAATCCTGATCACACCCTTCCATTGTTTCTTGTGTGATGCTGAAAACAATGAGATAAAGAAAAATAGCAGTAGCACATTGTTTCTTGTGTGGTACTGAAAACAATGGGACAAATAAAAATATTACTACTATCACATTAGATGGTTATAATTCTTTTCTGAAGAATTCTGAACCTATTTCTACAATTCTACTTGGTGAAGGCTGCAGGTTTCGAAGAACTGCTCTGTAGCTATATCAATCGTAGAAGTACAACAAGAACATGTAGTAGTACTACTGAAGTGTGCAAACTGCAAAGAGGGGAATATGAAAAGGTGGGAATCTGCTCTGACAAGTAATGGTCATTGTCATTTGTCAATCCAGCAGTCGTCAAAATCTGCTTTCAGCTTCTCAGAATGCGAAGACGTAAATGAATGAAATATGTAAGACAATGCCGGTTCGCAAATCTTTATTTTCAATTTTGGAGGGATTCGAAAGTTTTTCTCTGAACTACCAGTATAGTTCCTTACTTGTAGCAATGTTATAATCAATCATATAGGAGTAAGTAATACCTGCTGAGATTATCGTAACGAAATTGCCATTCATCAGGTGAGCAACCGGAATGCCCATGTTCAACCAACCTGGAGAACACAAAAAAAAAGTTGGGAAGCATAGGTTAACAAAAAGGATCATCAATATCATCAGTAACAACCATAGGTTAACAAAAAGGCTTGTTCACCTCCCGCGTTCGCCGTCTTCATCAACCCGGGTTTCGCATCCACCTGCGGCTTGGCTTCCTCGCTTGGATTTTATTACCCATATCACCATTCGAACTCGCGAATTGGGCAGCGGAACGGGAAGCAACCCCTAATTTTGGTTCGGCTCCATTCCCTACATCGAATCCGTTTGGTATGATCAGGGATCCCCTCCATCTCGAACCCTTTCGACGGCGGCGGTAGGGGGGAAAATACCTACACCTGCGACGAGGGCGCTTTGAGGGGGACTCGATCGGAGCGGCGCCGGAGTCCGAGCCCTCGCTCCCGCCGCCGTCTGAGAGGGAGGCGTCGGAGGACGGCGCCTTGGGGGGGATTCTTCGCCGCGCCTCGCCTCCACCTCCACCTTCTTCACCCGCACCGCCCTTGCAACACCGGCCGCCGCCGGCGGCAACGAAGGGCGCGAACGCACGATGAGAGCCCAGCCCACAGCACAGGTTGTGCATCCGAAGGCCGGCGCAAGCGATCCACCCCCAAAGGCCCAAGATAAGCCAGTAACGGGCCAGATGGGCTGCCTCCCGTTCAACCGCGGCCATGTGAGCCTGCACGATCGCGGGGCATAACGCGCCACCGCAGCGTAAATAAGTCCATTTCACCTCCCTCATCTCTTGCGCTGCGTGAATAACATCCCTCAACCAGAAAAACGGGTATATTACCTCCCCAAGTGTTAAAACCAGTACAAAACAACTCCCTGGTTTTTGACAGTGGTTTTGCTGACGTGGCAGCCTAGTCATCGAAAAAATTGAAAAATTATGTGAGGGCCCACATGTAAGTGCCATTTCCACTCTTCCTCCACCACTCTCCACTCTCCTCTCCCCTCTCTCCGTGGACAGAGCACGGTCAGGGGAGGTGCCGGAGCGCGCGGGAGGGATAGGGACCGCCGGAGGATGTAGGCGCGCGCCGCGAGGGAGGGGTTCGCCGGCCACGGCGCCCGCGCGGGAAGGGTTCGCCTGCCACGGCAAGCGCAGGGGAAGCGGTTCGCCGGGATGGGTCATCGAATCACCACCACTGCCGTCGCCGCCGACGAGCTGGCTCCTCTCGTCGCCGTCGGTCCAAAGGGAGGAGACGGAGACCTTGCTCCCCTTGTCGAAATCGGCGGAGCTCAACCTGGGCATCGCCATCGCCGCCTCTGACTCCACCTCCCGGATCGGCAAGACAACGGCGGCTGCGCAAATCCGGCAGCTCAGCGGCGGTCTCCGCCGCGAGAGGCCGTGGTAGTGGCCGGCGGGGCGATGAGAGGATCTAGTAGGCACCGGTGTCTCGACATCAGCGGCGGCAACGGGAGCCGTGGTGGGAGACGGCGGGGCAGCGATAGTGGCCATTGTCGGGCGACGGCGCCCGGGCTTGTTGAAGAAAGGGGAAGGGGCGGCGTCACCACAGGACCCGCGCGCAGCCGGCTGACGATCTCCTCCCCATGCGCGTCATGGCCGGCTAACGAGCTCCTCCTTCCATGCCGGCAAAGTTGTCGGCAACGTCGCTGCCGAGCAGCAGCAGCCGTCACGACTGTCCTGCCGCTCCCGCCGAGCTCCCGCCGCTTTGCCGAGATCCTGCCGTCTCGCCACTCCCGCCGTCCTGCCGCTACCACCGAGCTCCCGCTGCCCCACCTCTCCCGCTGCCCCGCCGCTCCCGCTGAGCTCCCGCCGCCTCGCCGCTCCCGCTGTTCTATCGCTCCCGTCGAGCTCCCGCCACTTTGTGATCCCGCCGGCGTTCCTACCACTGTCCCGTTGTCCCGTCGCTCCCGCCGTCCTGCTGTCGCCGAGTTCATTTATTATTTTTTTTACTCACTGACATGTGGGTTCTATTTAGGTTTGTTTTATTTTAGAGCCATATAAGCGCTACGTCGATGCCACATAGAAAGTCAACCAACACGTAAGTGCCACGTAGGACAAAACCGCCTCCGAAACCACCGAGGGAGGTGATTTGCTCTGGTTTTTAGAGGAGGAGGCGTTATACCTGGTTTTCCGGTTGAGTGATGTTATTCACGCAAGCACAAGACATGAGGGAGGTTAAATGGACTTATTCCCACCGCAACGTAATACATGATTCTCAGCCTCTCAGGAAGTTGTTACGTAATTTACTCAGAAAATAGTAATCAAAATCAGATTTGCTATAAAACTTCCGCAAGTTTTTTTGCGCTCAAAACTTTCATCAGATTAATAACCATCGAATCGCCTCAACATTTATGCATGAAAGGAAAAAAAAATTGCTAGAAAGAATTTTTCGCACATGTTACACTTAAGATTTCTAGTTACGGTGTAGTTATAATACCGTTACAATGTAATTACACTCTAATTATACTATAGTTGCATCTAATAGTTTTTGACTAAAAAAACTTGCGGCAGTTTTTTTAGATACTCCCAAATCAAAATTCGGTCAAAATGTGAAACACTGGAGGATGTAAAAATCCAATGGCACAAGTATTTTGCAAGAAAAGAGTGCAGCACACATGAATTTCTGCGAGATCCCTCGTTTCAGACACGACAGTGTGCCAAGAAAGATATCACAGAGCGCTATTCACCATACCAAAATTCAGGAAAGATCCTTCCAACCACCAGGATAAATAAGTGTAAACAAGAGGTACCGGTTATAGTATTGCTAAACCACTTAGGATGCATTCCTCATCTACTCACCAGACCAAACAATTCTCAAAACCAGAAAGATTCTATCATGTGAATCATTTCTAAGTTCTAAGTGAGCTTGTATCCCAAAGGTCATCCAGCCTACTTAGATGCCGAAGACCTTACATAAAGTTTCTGAATATTCTAGTCCTCAAGGTATGATTGTTACTTGTTAGAGCCCTACTCTTTCTTTTTGTTTTGCTTGCTATCTGTATCTTCTTCACAAGCTTCCTCCTCTTCCGCTTTGGACTCGTTGTACTCAAGGAGCTGGCAATGTAATAAAATGTCAGCAAGTATAATCATAATAAAATACGAAAACAATAAAGGTAAAACTAAGGATACGCATAACAGAAACTAAACTACCCGGCCACTCCCACTCCCACGCCAGCAAGCATCAGCTTTCACATACACACTAGATACATATATTATACGTGGGAGGCGAGCCCTACTGGTGTATCAAGTCCTAGCTAGGATTAACGGAATAATTAACTATTTGCCACTCTTACAAGTGGTGCTAAATTATTTGCCACTGGACCCACATGTCATAGACAGTGAATGGCAAATAATTAATTGCCACATCTTAAAAGTGGCAAGAAGTTAAATGTCCCAGGATTAACCCATAGAGGCAATCCCAGGGAGTAGGAAAAAAGTTCCCCACTGACGCACAGATTTCAGTGATAAGGATTGAGCCCATGCCTGGCTGTTCACTCCACTGCGAACCAGCAAACCAAGTGATTTTTATCTAGTGATCAAAAGATAGAAGGAAAATAATCTAGTCATTTTTAGCTAAAAAAATAATTTGATGTTAGCAACAAAGAATATCATCCATGTTCAAAACTTCATCATGTTCTCAGCCTTTCAGCACCGGAATCGCATAATCTCTAACGATGCGTACAAAGCCATTTCATGCATAAATGGTACGGGCATTGCTCACAGCTTAGAAAATCAAATATTTAACAGCGTGTGGTACATAATAACTTAACCATAGCAACACCATTCTAACACTAACATCAAAATAAATACAGCGACTCTTCCAACAAATTATATCAACCATCCTATTGTACATAAAACTCCCACGTCTTTGCAGTAGCAATTAAGCATCATGAACGAAGGCTATTAACTTTGAGTTTTTAGTAATGTAACAAAAAAAGGGGCCCCTTCAACAGAATAAATTACGCAGCGTACTCTCAAGTTTCAGGACAATGGACAGGTTGGGAAATACCATGGTCAGAGTTAACAAACTTACCGGCTTTACTTCACCATTCCACAAACAGTGAACAGCAACAAAACCAATCACACCAGGAACAATGTACAACAGAGCAGGCTGCATATGATGAGAAAATAAAGACAATGAAAGAAGAGGGGCATTAATATTTCAGAGATGACAGAAATCAGAGGCAACTTTCTTTTCCTGTTATAACTGGAGTCCCGGTTGGATCTTGATGTAATTTTATTTCCTTGTTTTTCCTTTTACAAGGTTTATAGCTTCCTTTGTACTACTACAAGTTTATACAGGGTGGAGGTGGTCTGGTGGTGTAGAGGTGGCAGATGCACCAACATAATTACCTTCTTTTTCCCCTTTTATTTATGTATGTATAACAGTTCATTTTGTTTAAAATAATCTGTATACAGTAGGCTCTCCCTCACTGTTTCCCTTGGGAAAAAAAGAGGCAACACGATGGCGAGAATCCTTAGTAACAGAACTCACCTGTGCAGCTTGGAACCAGTTCATCACTATTATTGTCACAGTCAGACCCACGGTATAACCCAAAAATGCACTATTAAAATAGCGGTTCTTAATTCCTCTTGAGACATCAAAACGCAGCGCAAGTGCCACAAATATACCTGGAACCAAAAGTAGAAGAGCATATTATGTGTCAATACAAGAGTTGCACCTTGCAGAATATGTGTCAATTTCATGATTTACACTATTGAATGGTGTGAAGACTGCTAAGGAAAGACAAACGATCAGTGGCAAGTAGCAACTAGCAACAACAAATTCTTCGAGCTTTAGTGCTAATAAAGACAACAAGGAGTTTAATGCATTATTCAGTAGAAGGCATCCACATGCATACCCTAACCAACCAACTAAACTAATCCCTGGAAAAAAAAATTAACGAACCAGGGTAGTGCAAATGATTCTGCTATTCATTTTATTTAGATTCAAGTATAGAAAGTAATATCATAGCCAAAAACCAACATATATCCTCATTATAAAACTAAGTAGTTTGAAGACAAATAGCCAACCTTGTTGGCTTCATCTGGATAACAGAGCCAGAATTCAGACTCGGAGTACATTTTTACAAGCAACTCAAAGCAGCTGAAATGCTGAATTTACAATTATTTTCTGGCAATACACACAACTGTACTCCTATTACCAGCAAATGGAACTAAAATTATATCTACATTATTTTATGATATAGTTGATTTGATTCTCTGCTACATGCCTACGCACCTTTAGAGCCACAGGAGAAAAAAATAGGAACTCAAATGATGTAGCAAACAGATACAGTTTTGAATCGGGTTACTATTTTTAACAAACAACCCAGTTGAACTAACAGCTTGCTATAGATCATAAATTCAAACAAGTTCTCAATCTAATGCAGCTGACAGCCTGAATGACCCTATTCAACCAGAAATCACAGGCCAAATAAAAGTTGAAATAAATAATCTAAAGATTTTATTACTAACCAGGTATTACAATGTCACCAAGGCCAAGCATAGAGAACGGGCGTGCAGCATCACCTGTAGGAAATAGAAGCTGTGCAAAAAAAAATGAGTAGAACTAGATTAACCTTTTTTTAGAAAACTAGTATTTCTAAAACAGTATATTTGCAACCTAGAAAACGAATTCACACGGGATGGATTAAACTTAGAGCTAGGTCATATAGCAGCGTGCGTTGATGCATCAATGAAGGAAGCACGTACAAGAAGAGCCGTTCCTCCAATCGACGCAACAAAGCGGATCAATGTAGGTGAGCTTACTGACCATTCACACAGGGTTAAGGTTGCTGCCATGGCGGCTGCAGTGTGTGATTGGCTAATTAGCCACCGAGCACATAAAGAAACATCCAAAGAGTTTGAGACGACCATACAAACATACAGTAACATAGAGAGGGAGAAAACCTAGAGGTCTCCGGCGACAAAGAGGTCGACGAACAACAGGGAGTAGTTTCCGCGGATTGAGAAGCCAGATATTCAGGGCGAGTGGTGGCGGGCCGGAGGCGGAGGCGGTCGGATCTGGGAGAGGGGGAGCAACGAAGGGCGAAGACAGTAGGGGTCTTTGTGATGAAAATCAGGTGGTTCTAGGGTTTCTGTAAGGGGTCCCTTGGGCCGGTATTGTTATGGGCCCGATGGCTCATCCTTAGCCTTTCTTGCAACTGGACGGCACAAAAAAAGGAAAAAGCGGCGAAAAAAAAGAAACAGACGAAAATAACTACTGGAAACCTTACGTATTTTTTGATTAGGTATAGAAATGAATGGCTATTGCAACAAGAGTGAAATCAAGGAATACTTACCTTTATTGGAGCATCAAATGACTTGGCAACACTGACCATAACTGGAGTGAAGAAGACCCAGAAAATATCATAGAAAAAGAGTCCGCTCTGAATTAAAAGGGAATACCACGATACACAAAAGTTACAAATTAAAAATGCTTTACACAATACGGTGGTGTATACAAATATGGACTTTAATTTCGCAAGCAAAAGAAAGGCAACCATAAATTATAGCATATCAGAAAATTCAAATTATCATTGCCATGCTCAACTAGTAATGATTTTGATGGCTGAAATAATAAAAGGTGCTTTGACAAGTACCACCAGAAAATATAAGTTTCAGTTCAATACAAACAATCCATACCAAGAGAATAGCACCAGTTTTGAATGATCCAAGTGATAGCATCTCGATTCCCTGGATGGCAAAGAGAATCAGGGATTCAGGTTTCTCTACAAGTTGGTGGGAAAAAAAACATATCTACGAAACTTTCATACCGTAATTAATTTACTCATGCATATTAACATTATATCTCAAAAATAGCAATAAGATCAAACCTGAATGCAGAAAGAAATCCCCAGAACGTTGTTTGCTAGCCAATGCTTCTTCGCAGCATACCATATGCAAAAGAAAAATCCTGGGATCGATGCAACGACTTGAGATCTGGTAAACTCCACCGAGAGCGCTGAAATAAGAAGTGAATGAACTTAAAAGACCAGTAAACAAAGAAGTGACTTGCATGATACAATTTCAATGTTATTGAAAGGAGGATCCTTTTTTGCCATTTCAATAATTTCCTAACAAAAGGAACTGACATACTAACAGCACCTATATGGTTCACTCAGGAAAACTGGATACCATATCCATACAACATGCTGTTAATGAAAGCATATTTAGATGCCACTAAATTGTTTAGGAACAATTTAAATACTTAACTTTACTCTTAACGTCTTTTGAATAAGTTGTGTTACTTGCTTGTATTAAGCGATATCATGTATTTATGATTTTGTAATACAGTACAGACAGTTTAAAGTTCTGCTCTAGGATGAATTGGTCTACTGGAAAAAGACACCATGTTCCCAAAAATAAAACCAAATCCTTTCTAGCTATGACACACAATAAGTATATGGATTATGTCGCCACAACATTGTTTTGATGTATGGCAAATTGGCAATACTAGAGATGCAACCAAATAGTTCCCTCATATAGTAGACTACTAATAGATAGGATTACATAGATGTATTGATCTGACATGATACATGATGGCAATAATGAGGTGTGAGTCATACAGTGGAAAAGTGGAGCACGCCAAACAATGGCATTATCGTTCCATTCTTTTGGAAGAAATCGTTTTATGGAAGGCAGCAATGTTGCACTGCAAGAGAAAAACATAAACATTCTTAATTTCACAAAAACAGTATTAAGAAGTTACATGTGTGGAAAAACTCTTCTAATAATAGGATTTGAACTTACCAGAGAGCAGCGATGCCAAGAATGAAAAAGTAGGCAGTGAGAACAGTATTGACCAAATCTTTTGAGAGAAACTTGAATAGAAGGAAGAGGGACAAAAGCATAGCACTTCCCACCAAAGGAAACCGCATAGCATGTTCTTTGGACATTGTCTCCTATATAAGAAAAAGGCAAAAATTAAGTTATTCAGAGCCAGAGGTACATGTAGGAAGTTGGATGAATAACCTATCACATTAGTGCCCAGCAGATGGATAAAACAAGTTCAAGCATATTGCTTACAGCGGGTGGAGTTGGCTTAACAGAACGGTAACAGCCCACATAGACGGCAAGGCATGCTGTCAGTATAACATTCGCATTGGGGTTTACTTTAACCACAAGTGGAGCCAAGCTCAAACCTGCATACAATGTAAGATGCATAAAACTGCAGCTCAGCAAATATTCAGTTTGTCCAAAGGAAAACAAAAATGGTTATGAACACCGCCAACACCACGATGGCTGAATTGAGCATGTAAATGTACCTGCAAGAGCCAAATTGGCAGCTCTCTCATGTGTTTTCATTGTCACGGAAAATATCAGGAAGATTCGTTCTGAAGTTCCAAGGTGAATCCACGAAAATAACGAAGCAACAGCCCAGATACTTCACGGTATTGTCCCTTCTGAGATATAAAAGAGCATTGGTTAATTATGGTTTACGAAGGTCAATAATATGCTAGCAAGATTTCGCCTTCCAGTGTCTCTACTCATTTAAAAGTATCTGCGAGCAATACTGTGCTCTACACCCACAACAAAACCTAATAAACAGCGGATAGACCTAACGATTTTTTTTCTTTTTTGAAACACAAGCTGCTATTAGCACTACACCACGCATCAAATAAATTCACAACAAACTCGACGGTTTGATTGGACGGAGACCAATCAATCAAAGCCCTGATGAATTTGCAATCTACGCGAGGGAAGTAATCGCAAGACCTTCAATTCGAGTCGAGACGAGACTTGAGGTAGGCGGGAGGAGGTCGGCCGGCCGCGCCTTCAGATCTGCTCGCCGGCTGCAGACAAAGAGTACGACCGGAGAGGGTTTGAGGTGCCGCACGGCAGAGGCCCCGCCATGGATCTCGAATCGGAGGAGGAAAAGGGGAAGCGGGGATGGTTGCTCGCGTACCTCGGTTGGATCGCTCGATCGATCGATTGATGGATGGATGGATCAATCGATCTGGTTGATGGCTTTGACGCGTCTTTCTCCCCCCTCTTCACCTCTTGCCAGCGAGGGCTTTGGGCGCTCGTCTCGTCCGTGTCTGCTCGCGTACGGTATCTGCGTAGCAATATGTATCTGTATATACGTTATGCTGCTGTATAGTTACTATTCTAACTTTGCCTTTTTCTTCGTTGATTCTAATCTGATCCTTTTCTATTGCAAACGAAACTACTACTAGCAATCAATAAAAACTCCGAAATAAATGACCTCTTTTTTTTTAAGGAAGACTACCGAACAGAATATGTAACGGAATAGCAAATATATACCGATCTGGTACTTTCGATACCATATCATGCTGATGTCATCACACGTAAGTATCATATCTTAACATGATACATGTATGTACTTAATTTATTACTAAGTATCATGCTGATGTTAGCATTGTACCGTTGACATCAGAATCTGTATCATATTGATGTTAGATATTTCATTATAATAGTATATTGTTTCGTAGTATTTCTGTGTTTTTTATTATAATGTACTGCTCGCCTTCTCCTACTTTAGATTTTTTTCATTTTTTTAATTTTATAGAAAAAATTAATTATGTTTGTAATTTTTTCAAAGTATTACATATCCACACCTCTAACACCATTTGGGAGGTCATTTTTCATGACATTTAGACCATGTTTAGTTCCCCAGAAACTTTTTCAAAAAACATCACATCAAATCTTTGGACACATATATAAATCATTAAATATAGATAAAAGAAAAACTAATTGCACAGTTTGCATTTAAATCTCGAGACGAATCTTTTGAGCCTAATTAGGCCATGATTAGCCATAAGTGCTAAAGTAACCCGTATGTGCTAATGAAGAATTAATTAGGTTCAAAAGATTCGTCTCGCGGTTTCCAGGCGAGTTATGAAATTAGTTTTTTCATTCATGTTCGAAAACCCCTTCCGACATCCGGTTAAACGTCCGATATGACACCCAAAAAAATTTTATTTCACCAACTAACACAGGCCTTACATGTCATTGGGGCATGGTAATGGTTGCGCGAAGGAGGACTAGCTATTTTACAGGTGGCTCCTCTAGGTCTAACGGTAATACTTTGAATAATAATAAGAAAAAGGTCTCTAAATGTTTTGGTAAATCTCTACTATTAATAAAACTAGCATGGTGGCCCGCGCAGATTGTGCGGCTAGCATCATTATATTTTCTCTCATATAATAACATATATGTTTTCTCATTATATTATTCAAATATATTAAAATGACAACATAATTTTAAATTTTACAATAACTTTACAAAACTACTAATGTGTAATATTCATATTGTATTTTATATACGTGTTAGTTATTAATTATTTTTAATATCAAAGTTGTTTATAAATATATATATTCCTATATGGACTCTAGACTTGTCTTTTAATATTTCTTTTTTTTAATTCCGAATTTTTTGTAAATTGTATTTCTATATAGACTCTATGCTCTTCTTCCAATATTATTTATTTTTATTCTTAATTTTTATTATTTCTAATTGTATTTCTATGTGGACTCTAAACTCATCTTTCAATATTCTTTAATTTTTAATTTCGAATTTCAGTTACTTCTAAATTGCATTCCTATATTGACTTTAAACTCAACTTCCCATGTTTTTCTTAATTTCGAATTTTAGTTATTTGTAAATTGTATTTTTATACGGACTCTAAACTCTACTTTTAATTTTATTATGTTTATTCCAAATTTTAGTTAGTTTTAAATTCCTATATGCACTCTATACTCTACTTCTAACCTTCCTTATTTTTTAATTCTAAATTTCTATTATTTCCTAATTGTGTTTCTATATGGACTCTTGTAACGCTCCGCTTTTCGTGAGACGTTAAAAACTAATTCGGCAAAATCCTAATTGCGAAAATTCATTCTTTGTGTGCTGAGTCTAAGTCGTGCCGTGGATCTCAATTCAAATCCCGTTGTTCCCTCTCATTGAAATCAAAATCCTCCACCTCAAATTTCCTCTTCCAATTCAAGACTCCAAATCAAATCCCGAAATTCAAATCCTCTCTTGAAATCCTTGCGAAATACCTGTTCCTGATTCCCATTTGAGTTCCTTCCTTGACTCCACCTTGTTTCCCTAAGACCAAGCATCAAATTCGAAATCCAAATCCAAACCCCCAACTCGAATTCTCTCCAAATCTGTCTTCTCTATAAAAGTCTATTTTGCGTCCTCATAATTTTGGATGGGCTGGATCCCCTCCCCTCGGCCCATCTCCCCTCTGCCTAACTCCTCCCTCTCCACGTGAGTTGCACGTGCCCCCACCGAGCCGAGAGAGAGCGCCGCTCTCCCCCTCCCCCTCTCTCTCTCTTCGCTCTCTCTCTCTCTCTCAGTTCTCTCTCTCTCCCTTCTCTCCCGGCGTCGGTCTCCCGTCGCCGCCTTTCGATTTTCGTCACCGCCCGCCGGTTCCCGCCGCCGCGGTTTGAACTCTCCTGCCGCCGCTATTCGATTTTGCTCCGCGCGCGCTCCTACGCGGTGGCCGACCGCCCGGTCGCCGCCCGTGCCCGCGCTGCCGCCTGCGTCGCGCGCTGCAACCCGCCCCCACTCCCTGTGCGCGTGCTTCCAAAACACGGAGCCAGAGCTCGCCCTCCCCCTTCTCTCCCTCCCCAAAACGGCATGGTCAAGCTTCCCTTTCCCCCTTCTTTTTCTCTTTTTCCCAACCTCAGCCACCGCACCTCCACTGCCGCTGCTTGGCCGCTAGCTCCGAGCACGACCGCCAGCCGAGCTCCCTTGACCACCTAAGTCGGTTTCCTCCCCCAAAACCGACTTCCCGCACCTATAAAACCCAACTCGAGGCCCGCCCTTTCCTCCTCGTTTCCTTGCCGAACCTCCACCGCGCCATTGCCGCTGCACCATCTCTGCCGCTCGTCGTCGTCACCTTCCCCGCCGTTGCGCGTGCCGGGAAGCCGGCGTGCGCGCGGAGCCGAAGAGGACTCCGGGTGCCCTCTCCTTCCTCTTCCCCGGCCCGAGGCGGAGGCGATCCCACCCGTGCTGTCGGACCCTCTTCCCGGCGATCTCCCGACGCGGTAGCCCCCGTTCACCCTCCCCGCTCTTCCTCTCCCTCTTAGCTTGCGCGGTCACTAGCCTGGACCTTCCCGAATGTGCCTAGACACCGCCCAAGCGTCGGCGCTACTCGCTGTGAGCTTGCCACCGTCAGCACCCGCTCCCGGAGGCCGCCTCTCATCGCCGGACTTCCACGGCGCCGCTCTGCCCCATCCAACCCCGGGAACGAGTTCCCTGAGTCCTAGAGATGCTCCATCTCCGACGAATCGAACCCTCGTCGTCTCGTCGTCGTTTCCCCCTTTGCTCGCTGCCGGTTGCCGCCGCCGCGATTCGCCGCCGCTGGCCGCCCTCTGGCGAATCTGAGCCGTTGGCTCACTCTTTCTTGTCCTCCTTGTCGTTCTGATGTGCTCCCCGTCGCCCTCGCCGTCGCATGGTGTCCCGGTGAAACTGCCGTCGTCCGCCGTCCATCTCGGCCTCCCCTTCTTCCTCCTCCCGCCGGCCCGCGTGGCTGCCACGTAGGCGCCACGTCGGCGCCACCTCGGCTTTGACCGGGCCAATCCGGTCAGCCGCACCCTCCCTCCGTCTTCCCTCCCGTGCGCGCGGTCCACGACAAGCCGTGCAGCTGCACGTGGGCCCGCCGCCATCCGTCCACCCGGCACGCCGCGCCCGAACCATGCGCACCCGAAACCCTAGCGCCCGGCCCCGCGTGCGCCGCTTCCACCGTGCACCGCCTCACCGACAAGCGGGCCCGCTCGGGACCCCGCGAGGTGAGCCCGGTCCACCCGGCTCCCCCCTCTCTCTCCCCGCACCCCTCTCCTGGGCCGCCTCCCCGTAGCCCGCGCCGGCCCAATAAGCTCGGCTGAGCCACGCAAATCCCCTCGGGCCGCACCCTAGCCACCCTGAGGAAGTCTGATATTCCTCCCTCCTTCAATTTCTTTCCAAAAAAAGGGTTTAATAAATTATTAAATCCTTTTTCCTTTAGACAGAAATTCCTTAATCTTTAGAAAATCCATATCTTCTCAACCGCTCATCCGTTTGACTCCGTTCAACTTCCAGTAATTCCATAAAATTGAGATCTATCTAATGGCACTATTAATTAGTCTAATTAGGATCTTTCTTTTGGTCTTTTGTCTAGGTTTTCGATTGTTTGCGTATAGTTGCGGTTACCGGATTTTTCACCGATCGTGGTTTTCTCGAAGATTCGTGAAGCTTCGTGAAGACCTTGAGCAAGGCAAGTCACCCTTTGATCAATTGCTCCTATAATTGGAAAATCATTATTATTTTGTTTGCAACTTGCATTATTAGGGTCACACACTTAATTTGCTTGGCCTCGGTTTGCGTGCCAAACCGACGGACCTACCCAGTAGTCGCACTAATTCCTGTAGGCTGTACTACCCTGATTCCTTGTCGCTCCACCCTTGTTGTACTTAGGTATATGTGCTCTCTGAGCGCGTGTACCAAATATCCCACATACACCGTTGATTGTCGAAAACTTGGGAAATGGGTTTGTGAAGCCTTGAAAACCCGACATGTGGTGTCGGTGTGTTTGAAAATAAAATAAATTGTGAAAACTCGCGATGCGGGGGTTGTGCCTATGTGGCACTATCCCGTATTCGCATATAAGGACCGATTCCTGTGGGAAACTCATCGAACATAATCAAAGTGCAACCACAAGGTAGAATGGGACACCCTGGCTAAGTAACTAGTTGGTTCAGGAAAACCTCGCATGCCAATAGTTGGGAACGCCGGGGCGGGGTTGGACAAACCGGGTTCCTGGTAAGGCAAGGACGAGAAGCTTGCTCACTTACCGATCAAGGTGGTTGGAGTTGATTTGTGAATGCCTAAAATGGCCTATATTTAAGTGAGGATTTGATCCTTCTATGTGGCATGAGGTAACCCTGAGTCGGCTTGGGAAAGGCTTTGTCGCGAACCTCTGACACCGGCCAGTGTCTGGAGTAAGTTCGTGTCTTGTGGGTAAAGTGTACCTCTCTGTAGAGATTAATTAACTGTTCGAACAGCCGTGCCCACGGTCATGGGCGGATGTGAGGTGGTTCCTGTTGCGTAGATTTGAT